CGACAAAGCGGCCATGGCTGAGCCACAGAGAGCCACTCCAAAGAGCAACAGATGGATGAATGTTGATGAAAATGGATGGAGCCTGATAGTGAGGGTGTGTATTGTTGACAGAGAATGATTCCAGGGATGGATGGCAAGTGGAATGGGGTGGATTGCGCAGATGTAGAGTGGATGATGCAGCACCAGTGAAAATGAGGCTCAGAGCTTGTTGGGCTCATAACCTGTTAGCAGCAGGCAGAACAGGGAAGCATAAGATGGGTGGCCATAAGCACACCAGGCCCAGACACATACACAAACCGAAGGCAAGGTCAATTGCACGGACTAAGGAACAAAGGAAATACAGTGGCTCAGTACATAGTCAAGCTGTTTGTACCTATTTGTCCCAGTGGCTCTGCATCCAATACAACCAAAACCTAACAAAAACCAGTTCGTGAAAATACAGATGGTAATCCAACCCTTTACATGTACACATATATGAGTCCAGTCCTGCGAGTACCATCCTATAATAAGGGAAATTATACCCAAAGTGTGGGCGTTGTACCGGTAGTAAAAATGGCATGTAAATAGCCGCTTTTTTTTACTCAAGTCTGCGGTTTCGATGGAGGATCCACCTGGACAACAGAAGACTGCACACGTTCACCCACGGGTACTTTGCGTGAAGGTGAGTCGCTGGTAGTCCGGTCTCTAGCCGTATGAGAGTCAGAAGAGCCTGCAGCGTCTCTCTCGGGGTCGACGGTGTGCGTCGATGGATCCAAGCCATGCCCGGCGACTTCAGGTATGGTCTTAGGGGCAAGTGCAGGGTCGGGAGGGATCCTGTACTTCTCCTTAATATTCCCGGGCTGTTCGAGATCGCGATGACTCGTCAGCCCCGCAGCGCGAGCGCGGGCCTTCCGCCGCTGCCGCTTGTAGATGTAGATAGCGAGTCCAACGATCCATGCGAGGCCGACGCATGATCCGGATACAGCGCCCGCAATGATCGGCGTCTTTGCTTTATGTCTAATGTAGCGTCAGGACAATGAGTGCTCACAAGAGACCTGGCTTACCCTTGCAGCGCGGCAGATTCTGAAGGATTGGCCGCGAAGGCAACCACGTCGGGAGTAGCCATCAGAGAAAGCAAGCAAAGATGTTATGCCATGGACACTGGATTATGCATTGTTAGTCCACGCCATTATACAGAAAGACGTGCGTACGGCAGACGAGTGCAAGCGGAAGCCTCGAGGCTCGCACAGCGCCAAAGAGGAGTTGCCTGAACGAGCGATTATACGCGATTGACCTGCGGACGGCGCCAAAAAGGCGAGGCCTTCGATGGGCCTGCATTGCCCTGCAACGATGGTGGCAGTGTCGTTACCATTTCGGGATATGACGTCCGTCTCCACTGGCGTCGTCGTCACGTGTCACGCCGGGGTGCAGAGCCTTGTAAGACGCGCCGGACAGCTTTCAACTCAAACGCCTACACCTCTTGTTCTCCGCCTTTGCTGTCGTTTTACCTGAGCCCGCCGCGTTTCAGACAACAACAAGGTTGCTTTTCTTCTGTCTCGTGTGTTATGCGTGCCGCCGACCCGTAATCCGTTATGACAGTACGTCACAGCCGCGCAGCTGTGTCCTAATAAACGCCCTCCACAGCAGCTGCCCCGGCCACATAACATACTTTCTCGTCAGTCCACGCGTTCGTTCCCTTTCTAACTGCCGTCTCATGCGTTTCCCGAACTATTCGACGTTTAGGACAACGTCGCCCGAGCGCAATCAGACAATGACGCCCCAGCGCCCCGACTCCCGCAATGCACGATCGAAGACGATGACTACCGTGGATGGCGCGGATACGCACGGTGTGAGTCCAGTGGCGTCTATCACTTCTCTGGAGTCCTAACACAGCGCAGGCCCTCAACCAAATGCCGTCCCAGAGTCCGACCTTCCGCCTCGGTGTCTCGGAATCGATGGGTCCACGGCGCTTCATGGAGGACGCGCACTCGTTTGTGATAGACTACGCCGGCGTGCGCGGTCAAGGCTTCTTCGCCGTCTTCGACGGGCACGCAGGTAAACATGCCGCCGAATGGTGCGGCATGCACTTCCACGAGGTATGCCTGCGATCCGGCGATCTCTTTCACTCGTTTATCTTCTTCTCTGGCTCTTGACGCATTTACGTATTTACGTTTCTTTCGCTTGCTCGTGCCGCTAGTATCTCCTCGACACGCTCCGAGCCAGTCCAAACGCCCCGATCCCGGACGTGCTCAATGAGGCTTTCCACACCGTCGACGCGAACCTGTCCAAGATGTCCGAAGAGTCCGACGGGAAGATGCACTCCGGGTGCACGGCGGTGACCGCGTTCCTGCGGATCGAGGACGAGAATGGGAAGCAGTCGTTCTTCGAGCAGGACCCCCTCACGCGGGTTGAGTCCCCGACGGACGCCGCAGAGGTGGACAGCGGCGGGGAGGGCCACAGCGGGCGGACGGAGAAGCGCAAGGCGAATGGTAAAGGAAGTAAGCTCAGGAATGCCTTGAAGAATCTGAGCGGGTCTTCTCTCTTGTCAGGATCGCGATCCTCGCATTCGCGCTCGCCGCCGCGCAGCTCGGAGGAGTCGACCCGGAGTTCCACGGAACAGCATGCTTCGAGCGTGCAGACTCCGCCGGCGACGGCGAGACGGGTCTTGTACTGCGCCAATGCCGGTGACGCGAGAGGCGTGCTGTGTAGGGCGGGCAAGGCAGTTCGCTTGACTTATGACCACAAGGGCTCCGACAAGCAGGAGGCAAAGCGCATCACGGACGCCGGAGGATTTATGATGAGCGGGCGAGTGAACGGTGTGCTGGCTGTGACCCGCAGTCTAGGCGATTCGTCGATGAAGGAATTTGTGGTCGGCTCGCCTTATACGACCGAGACCGAGTTGTGCGAAGACGACGAGTTCCTAATTCTGGCTTGCGACGGAGTAAGATCTCCGCAGTTCGATTGCCGTTCGCTGCTGACTCGATAATCCAATAGCTCTGGGACGTCATTGACGACCAGTCTGCGGTTGACCTCGTCCGCGATGTCGAGGACGCGCAGGAAGCGAGCCAGAAACTCCTCGACTATGCCCTCGCGAGGACGAGCGATAACGTCACTGTTCTGCTCGTGCGATTCAAGTTTCCCGCCGCTGAAGTCACCAAGTAATTCTTGTACAACATAATATCCTGCACGCCCTTCTTGCACCTTGTCGGATCATCACTCTTGACACCGGTTTCTTTGCATGGCATACAAGACGAATAGCTAATGTACTGCATTTTGACTCTACCGCCTGGCCTCGTCACCCGTTTTTCGATGTCTGTAGCTTCCATAAGAGTCGATATATCACGCATTAATCGTTGAACGTTGAAACGTTGAAGTCCTATTATTTCTTGCGAATGTGGCAGAAATGTGGCGTTGCGTAGAGCAGACTCCCACGGCAACTACAGATGGGAGATGCCGACAGTGATTGGGGCCGGCCCCAGTCAGATACTCACAGCTGACTTTCGGGCGGACTTTCAGGTTCGCATCCAGTCGCCAACAGCCCCCCTTCCGTTCTATCCACTTCTTCGATTGACTCGAAACCAGTGGATGTCTCAGCAATCCGCCGCATCCAAGCCTTCGCTGCAGGGGGTACGCATCAAAGCCAGAAAACGTGCTGTCAAGGCGTCTGCCAAACACGAACCTTCAGGTGCGCACCCCCTCCTTTCCCGGAAAATCCGTGTTTGATGAGGGATTTTTGCGACCGCAGTATTCAGAGATCAGCTCTACAAGCACCTCGAAACCGTGCCCGAGGGCGACTTTGACGGATTCGCGAATAAATTAGTCCAGGCCGGATCGACGCTCGAGTATCAAAAGTATGCAGATGCCCTATTCGAGATCTTGCTTGTCGGCGGGCTCCTCCAGCCCGGAGGCAGCTACGTCGAGGACGGCGCTCCGCCCTCCCCCTTCTCGATCTTCAAGGCCAAGGAGCCGGTCGAGGTGGCTGACATAAAGAAGTACGTCGAGGTGTTCAACAAGCTTATCAGAAGGTGCGTGGATGATGGTTCTATGAGCGAGGTTGTGCTTTGACTGAAGACGATCGGATAGGTACAAGTATCTCCAGAGGCCTCTGGAAACCTCGTCCCTTCCGAATCTGCTGCAATATGTCAACCGCTGGTCTCCGGTCCAGCAGCAGAAGTTGATGATCGCTACGGGCCTTATACTTGCTCAAGGCCTTGCCGCGCCTAGCTGCCTGCAGAGTCTTACGAAGGACCATCTAGTCAAGAATGGTGCGCATACATCTCATTTGTCCTGCAGTGCCCTTGTCAATCGTACACGACATAGACGTTTCGGCTTCGGCAATCACCAACATCTTCCGCGCCTACCTGACGGAGCAATCGATGGACCACCTGTCCAGCTCCCTCAAGAAAGGCGGCGTGCGCGATCTGCTCGCATTCTTCCCGCCGCAGAAGCGCGACGACAAGACGCTCGACGAGCATTTCAGGAAGGAGGGCCTTCCGCAGATTGCGGACTGGTGGACGAAGAAGCAGTACGCGGTGCTCAAAGATGAGATCATGAAGGGTATCAAAGATATGCTTGACCGCGAGGAGCCGAACGAGGAGGTACGCATATATTCAGATTTTAGGGATTTGTACAGGACGTGTGGACCTGACATTGCGGGTGCCGTTAGGTCATTGGTTTCATCAAGAGCAAGCAGGCTAAGCGCGCCCTCCCAGAGACCGAGTTGATCTCGTGCATCTGGCAAGGCATTACCTCCAGCATCGACTGGGCCGCTCGCCCCGACCAGATCGAAGGGCTTGCAGTGCGAGAAATCGGCGTCAGTGCCCCTTTGCCATTTCATCCTCCTGATATGGGCCCTCATGCTGTCTTGATCATGTAGAGATATGCCCCGATCCTCGAACCGTTCTGCAACGGCCCGAAGGTCGAAGTCGCGCTCATCAATACTGTACAAGTACATTCTTACGAAGATACGCGCATTATCAAGGCATTCCCACAGATTCTTAAAGTGTGTTCTCAACTATCGTCAGTGTATGCGTCGCTGCTTATGTGTACTCTATAACCTTCTAGGTATTGTACAATAAGGACTGTATTTCAGACCAAGCTATCATATACTGGCACCAGAAGGGCTCGAAGCCCCAGGGACGACAGCATTTCCTGACCGCTACCGAGGCCCTCGTGAAGGTGAGTAAAATACGTTTGTGTATGTGCCGTCACTCATGGACGATCTTCGTAGTACTTGCAAGAGCAAGAGAGTGAAGAAGAGGATGACGAGTAATATACTGGACCGGTGTCGCTTTGAACCATCATATATCCGGACGTTCCGGGTCGGTATTCTTACATGCGCCTACGAGTGTTTTTCCATGCCTACAGAAATATATCAAATAAGGCCACGTACACGACGTACAACAATCAATGAAATACCAATGGACCCGTAGAATACATACAAGGTGTACAGACAAAAGGGGGATACTTTTGGGAGATGAGGCAAAAACATCTATCTACATCATCTTCACATACCACAGATGGTGTTCGCCTATACACCTGCACATGTTTAGCGCTCAGCACCGATCTTACACTTGCACATGTACAGCTGCAGTGTCCTCGACGTACTTCACCATGCTTCTGGCATCGGGGCGAAGTCGCCCGACCACCCGTTCGGGTTGCCCATTTGCAGGAATATACCATCCGAGCCGTTGATGGGCAGGCCAAGGTCTGTCAGACTCTGGAACGATGGTCAGCATCACAGTATTCAGGAGAACGCACGGACGAAGAAAGGGGAAAAGGCTCCAGTACAATCACACATATTGTAGCACTGACCTGTTCGCGCAGCCAGGGCGGGATGGCCGATGGACTGAACACTCCTCGATCCGTAGGACCGTTCCCCGCGGGCCATGCAAAGCCCAATTCCTCCATCGTAAACGGCTGCGGCATGATGGTCGGGTCTACATAATTGGAGGAGATGAACATGCCCTCCGCGCCCGCCGGCGGCGGCACGGCGGACTGTGGCGGAGGCGGGCCCATCGTAAGCCCGAGTTTGCGCCGCAGGTTCGCGAGCATGATGCCTAGAGTGAGGGCGTACCTAGCAAGAGGTCGTGTGAGGCACGCGTGGAGGGACTGTTTGAGAGGAGGGGGATCGTACCGCTCGGCGGCGACGTCGGAGAGGAGCTGCGAGAGCTGTTCCACCTGCACGACGATCGCGGGGAGGTCCAGTTCCGAGGGGAACAGGTTCGCCATTTTCAGGAGGAACAAGCCCGAGAAGGAGGCGGTCACGAGGGTGTCGTGCACCGCGTACCGTAACGCCGCTCTGCAAGCGTTGTTAGAGCGGGCAAGCACAACATGGACTGACATACCTGAATGCTGCAGAATTCAGGAAAGTCGAGAGACAATTGGTTGCGGCATCTTTCGCTTGAAATGCGAGCTCCCGTTGCTCAAATGGCATCTTGTCCCAACTAACCCCGCGCAGGGCCACGCACACTAGCCAGAGTTTGGCATAATGCAGCTCACACACGAGCATCTTGCGCAGTAAAGATTCTTCGTCCATGGTCTGGCCTGTAGCAACGGTTATGAGGAGCATTACATAGGAGATGTGGGACGTACGGTGAAGTTCGTCGCAGTCTTGCCACCACTTATCCAGGGCCTTGATGGCACGGTTGATGAAACCCAGCGTGCTATGGTTTACCTGGCCATTCAGCGGAGACAACGTCTCATATATCTGAGCTGCAGAGGGAAGGAAAGAGCGGCACCGCATCAGCCTGCGCTGACTTGCGAGTGAATGGCATAACCTACTCTTTTGCGCGATCAATTCCACTTGAGATATCAGCCTGACGTCCGTGGGTGAAGCCATAGGGTGTGACAGCAGTATGCGGCAGTGTCTGATCGAGCTCTCATCCCTCAGAACGATAGGCCTCCCGGTGCCCAAGCTCATCTGGTGGTCGAACCAGTAGAGGCACAACCATATCCTGGCGGAGACGACTGGGCAGCCCTTGAGCATAGGAAACATCATCTTGACTATGACGATGCGTACCTAAATTCCTCTCCTCTTCGTCCGTCCGGTGCTTCCCGTTTCCATCCGCGAGCTTCTCGAGCGCGCGGTGGAGGCCCAGGTCGAGCGCCATGCGCATCGCGTGCCCGCTGGGCAGCCACCCGTTCGTGCTCCACGCCGCGAGCAGCAGCATGCCCTGCACCGCCTCCTTCCGCACGACGGGCCCGAAGAGGCTCGAGCGCGCGATGCCCTGCGCCTCGTCGAGGCAGCGGTAGAACGTCTCGGAGAGCGGGCCGGAGCCGCCCTTGATCTTGGACGCGACGGCGAGGATGGCGTCAAACGTCCACGGGGAGCGCTCCATAATCGACTCGTAGGTGTCGTAGGCGGGGTCGAAGAGCGGGATGAAGAGGTGGCAGCCGGAGAAGAAGCTGTGAGGGGTTAGGGAGAGGTGCGGCAGATAAGGTCGGGACGTACATGTGGTAGAGCTCTCTGGCTTCGGCGTCGGAGACCAAGCCCTGGATGCTGCGTAAGCCAGCGGTATAGTTTCTGGGCTCAAGGCACGCACCTTTTCTACTACGTGGGGGAACGCGTTTCTAGGAGTAGGCTCTGCTCTCTTGCGTTTCTTCACCCTGGCAGAGCTTTACTTCGAGCGGGTGATACGCCGAGGAATTTAGGGTACGCACCTGGGCGGAGATGCAGAAGGCGCCGCTGCAGCTTCTGCGGCTGCGTTCGCCAGACCCTGCAGGGCTTCGATAGGGGCGTTGAGGGTGGAGCGGGGGAGGGTGTCTTCCGACTCGTCGTCCGACGACGGGGCAGTAGACGGGACGATACCGTATGTAGCGTATTTGTGAGGCTAACGGAAGCGCATTAGAACGCGTAAGAGAGTAGCTAGTAAGAGAATTACCGGCGGGGCAAAGCCAGGGAGCGGAGGGAAGGACCGTTGTTGGCCGTTTGGTCGCTCATCGGCGGGCGAGTACATCTCCATGTCTTCGCGGTGTGCCGGAAACTGTGCTGGCGCGCGAACGGTGGGCGGGTACATTGGTGAGGGGGGGAGGCCTGCGGGGGAATGCTGGGCCTGGCTGGCCTGCAGCGTCGACAGGATCCTGTCCATGGAATTCTGAAGGCCTAGCATGTGACTCTGCAGCACCTATACGCGATGTAAGGACACGTAAACCATCGGCAGTGATTAATATACCATATATTGGCCCTCAAGCCTGGATAGACGCCTGTTCGACGCGACGGACATCAGGGGACGGCGGAAGAGGAAGACGGAGAAACATACTCGATGCCGGCATTGGACAGAGCCTGTACGTTTTTCTTTTCCGGTTTTTCGAAGATGCAAGGCTGACCGCTCAATTGACATCGACGACAGGGAGCCTACGCAGCCAACGCAGAGCCGGGCCGGGGCGGTCAAGGCGGGCCAGTGAGCGGGACGGCCAGCCACATAGGTTATATAGCGCTCACCTCGCCCTCGCACCTGTTCTTGCCACGCCGACAGTTTGTGCACGCCCGTGCTCCTCGTTTCGGGATGTGCGCCGACTGCTGGCCCTCCGCGTTGTGCGCGCTCGCGCCGCCGGGGCTGCTCGCCTGGGGCGACCCGCCGGCCATCTGCGCGCTGTAGTTGCCGTTCGTGGTGACGCTGGTGCGCCGCCGCTTGCTGGGCAGCTCGGAGCCGTTCGAGATGGAGGCCGCGGGTGAGAGGGACATGGACGGGGAGGACGGCGGCGGCGGCGAGAGGGCGACCTTCGGGCCCGGGGGGCGGTTGCCGGACCCTGAGACACCTCGCTCGATTCTTTTGAACGGTTCGGCGTCTTTTCTGCGCGTACGCCACACGTGCTACGCTCTCTTGTTTCGTCCGTCCTTTACAACACTTGACTACGATTCCATTCCTATACTTTCTGCGTCGTAGCCAACGACCCGCTTGACGGTATCCAGCCGCCTTAGGACCCCACGCGCTAGGAGGCTGGCCCGAATCCCCGGTGGCGACGAGCGGTGCGTGTATGTTCTTCATTATTTACTGACGGTGCCGCCCATCGGAGTTATTCAACGTTCTTCTCACTTCGAAGATTGGGTGTCGAACCTCGCATCCATGTAGACAAGTATCATCGTTCTTGGTCGTCTTATCGAGTTCTGCGCTTCATGCTTTTGGATACATGCCTTTGTTTCTGCGACGATGCTGCCCAAACAGGCCATCTTTTGTTACCCCGCACGGACACAGGATGACGACCCCGCTGATCAACAGACCCGCCTTCGTTCCAATACTGTCGCCAGCTACAACCAACATCCTCACACCCCCTCATGGCGCCCTCGCACGCTTTCCCAACCCAACGCATATCCTCCCCCTTATTTATGAAGATCTTCCCTCTGTGGCTCTCTCGTCCTCGGGCCATATCAAATGATGACTTCCGGACTGGATATACTCACTGCTTTCCAAGCTTGCCATCTTCGATGACCACACACTTACACGACTCATTATGGAACGGACCCCCGCCTCTGCATTTTCCCACCTTATCCAACTCTCCTCAGTGCCGAAGTCCCCTTTATCTGAATTCCCGTTTGCCTGAATTTCCGTTCTCCCGAATTCCCGTTCGTCTAGTTTCTACTTCATCCGAATTCCCGTTCATCTAAGTTCCAGCGCAAGCGAATTCCCGTTCGTCTGAATCCCAAGGTCACCCGGATTTCCGTTCACTTCGAAACATGACCAGCAGTGCATCATCTAGGGTCCACACGGATACCCGGGCCGCCACGCCGATCAGTCGTCACGACATGGCTTTCCATGAAGTTTAAGATGATTCTGGTTAAGCTCAGGCACGGCCGTCTTGTGACGTATTTTAGATTCAGCACCCCGCGTCTCGTTAATCAAGGTATCTGCGGGGTGTATAACCTCCGGGTTTTGCGGTCCCGAGCTCATCAGCTCGGAGATTCCCTCCTCGTGGCGGCTCGAATATTGCTGCAGATACCCGAAGGACAACCCGAATCTACAGGGCTGGCTCGGTACCGGTGGTAAGGAGCTTGACGGACGAATCGACGCGCAAGTTGTTGACTTCTCTATGCAGCGGGGGGTTTCCCCACTTGTGCAACACATGGGGGCGTAAGTAATAGCCCGTCACATAAGGAAGTATGTATATTTCAGGTGTGTTGGTTGGTCGCTTTTATAATTCCCGGGACACCCCTGGAACAATGTTCTTCATCCACTGCTTGGAGTTGTCTCGTTCATGCGATATAAACAACTGCAGGATACGACCATCAAATCGCTGACAAAATATGTTTGCTTAGGTATCCGCCCTCGAGCGGGCGACTCCGAGCCAATCAGGCCTTCTTGGAAGTCAAACTTTGCTCTTCCTGGCGGTATATGCCGCCCTAGACGTGGAGGGGAGACGATACGAATCGCCTTGTGCCGCTCTGGGTTCAACAATTCTCAGGATCACCGGCTCGGTACCGGTGAAAAGAAGTTCAACGGACCAAGCGCCGCTACATGCATTATGAATCTTCATCATGGAATGCCTGGTGCCTTTTTTCATATGGAAATAATTGGCCAATGACGATCGCATATCAAGTCCCTCCCTACATGCCTCGGTCCGATTTACGATGCTCAGAATGCCAAGGCTCCCAGTCGTGAATGAAGAATAGTACCGTCCCGTGACGCTGTCGCTATAGCCGCTGGACGTTGGCGATCTCCTTGATCCTTGGTCGATGTCGTGGCTGCTCGTCCACGCTACTGGCTGGGTGTATTGCTTCAAACAGAGCAACTCCCCTCACATGGGCACTAGGTCTACAAGCTTCGAAATAGGATATTCTTGAATTAAACACTGTGGAAAGTCGACAATCTCCCCTCTTGCTGATATAGCCTGCGCCACACATACGGTAGAGGAATAGCCCCAATCCATTCTCATGACGCTAAACTGAAGGGCTCTCGGGATCATCGGTTCGGTGCCGGTGGTAGATGTTTAATGGAACGGTTTCATCATGGATCCCTTGGTGCCCATTTTCCGCATGGGAATGACTATGCGTCGCGTAGCAAGTCTCATACGCCCTACCTGTGTCCCTCGGCCCGCCTTACGGTTTTTTGGAACCGTCAAGAACAGCGCTCCTCTTCATTCACGACTCGGGGCCGCTCAGTCACGATATTCGTATAGTCGCCGGATGTTGCCAATTTTCTTGATCCCCAGATGATATCGTATCTGCTTGCCAACGCTAACAAGTGGGCCCGTTGCCCAAGCAAATCATTTCTCTGCATAGGTCGAGGTTCCACCGCTACCGCCACCCGCTTGCATCATATACCCTCGGGATACGGGAGAACAACGCGAGTTCACGAGAACTGCTGTCTTGTGCCTCATCGGGCTTGAAGGCGATGGGGTTCCCGGTGTCGTGCCGGGAAATAAGCCCATCCGCGGACAAGGGTCTTAATTAAGCGCTGGCTGGCCTCTCTTTCCACGCGAGTGACCCGCCATCGCTTAAGAAGTCCCAATGCTCGTGTCTCGTCCGCTGCATGGCCCTTGGGAACCGCTTACGGTGACGTCCTCTGCATCCATGGCTGGAACTATTTCGTCACGCAATGTGTACAGCTTGTAAATCCAGGTACCGCAAGGGTAATCTCCGTAGTCTTGACCATTCCCTTTCCAACCGCCTTCGAAAGCACACTTTGGGCGGGCCCGATACGTTCTTCGTCATCTCTGCGACGGCATATGCTACAGGTCAAGTGGCCATGAAAAGGAATATTCGATTTTTACACCACTCGGCGCGTTCGGCAGGTCTGCATGCCTGCGCAGGTATGTTGAGGCGTCACGATCAAGGTTACTAACAAGAATTGCAGCTCAGCGGATAGATCACCGCTACGTGAACATGGGTTTTCATTATGGAACGTTCGCTGCCCTTTTCCCCACGAGAGTAACCAGCCACCGCATAGTATATTCCATGCTCTTCCCTCGCATCGCTTAATGACCTTCGGGGACTTGCCACGGGTAGTCTTCCCCATTTGCTGCTCGGAGCTGCTATGCTTCGCGAGGATTCAAGTATGTGTTCACGTGGTGGGCGCCTTGAGGTATCAGATCTTGCCGCTTGGATACTATGCTGATGGATTCAAGAGGTCGGCAATTTTGGGGGCAGGCCACTGCTGCTGTTGCGCGTCCTTTGGGAGAGAAGGCATCTCCCAACAGGTCTCACTCAGACGTTCCCTACCCTGGCCCGAGTCGAGCGGCGTGACTTGTTTCACTAATAAGAGTTAGGTGATCGCAAGGCGTCGCCAAGGTATATATTCCCCTCTGATTGATCTACTTGGATGCTCGGCAGATGCACACGGGCAGGTACGGCAAGGCCGACTCCAACAATAGCGATGGAACAAGGTGTACCACGGTCAGAGTGAGCTCTATCGCTCCAGATTCAGATCCCGGACTGTCACTGAAGGTCGGATGCTTGTTGGAGGTCTTTTGTGCTCCGAGCGAAAGAATATACTCCACCTGAGTGTGAAGGAACGGAAGGCGGGTCATGTCTGCTTGCTGGCCACATCGCAAGATTTCCCGTATGCGGGGATGACCGCCCCCGACATTCTTCAGAGTGAAATGTCCGCATGCGGCGCTGGCCATGTCTTCTCGCAGATCGACGCCCCTCGCTCCGCTTGAGGATCGTATCACAATTCTTATGTTCAACTCTGCGGGAACAGCGCCTGTCAACGCCATCAATACTGCATGCCACGTCGCAGGACGCTCGTTTGCGCGGCCGAATTGATTCTGAATATCTGGAGGAATATAAGCTTCGCAACATTCGTCTCTCTAGTACGTCATATGCGCGCAACCGAACAACGAGCAACTTGTAGCACAGGCAGGTTGCAGTCATGAACAGGCGTTTGCTCGAAGTCCCGGCGCACAGTCGCGCGACCGAATTGAAGACGATCATGTACGCGTTCGACCGATAGAGTTGGCCGTGAAAGAAAACGTCATGTCGAAAAAGGTAATGACATTCCCTAATTTGGCAGGAAGTGGATCCACTGATTCATTGAAGCGGCATAAAGCCCTTTCACCCTTCACGATCATGTTCAACCTCGTAATAAATAGCCAGAAACTCCGGCGACTCACCTTTTTCCTCTACCGGCGGGTGCGTGCTGTTGCCCTCGTCGTCGCGTCCCCCGTCCCCGACGCGTCTCCCCTCCCACCATGGCCGCTCGCTGTCCACAACTAGCGTCCACGTCGTCGGCTATGTCTCCAGCAAAGTTCTTCCTCCACTCGCCCAACAGCGACGCCGGGGACTCTTCTGAGGAAGAGGGCGACACTCTTTTCACCCCTCCCTCGCTCGGACACCCGTCTGCTATGTTCAGTCAGATGAACAGCCAGTTCACCTTTCGCTATCCTGCTGAATCGTCTACCTTAGAGATACCCGTTGCGCAGGAACAAACGAGGCCGAGCCGACCCCTCTCGCCCGTCGCTCCCGTCTTTACTCCCGCAGCCAAGCTGAAGCAGCCACAGCAACATTCGTATGAGCGGCCCATTTCAGGTCCCTCGCCCGCATTGGATCTGGCCAATGCCTCGCTCGAATTTGATCCCTTCGCGGCATCGTTCTCTTCTTATTGTGACCCACAGACATCACCGCTCAAACAGCCTTCGACGGGTCGGGATAGACCCTCCCTCAGCCGTTCACCTGTCACCGACTACAGGCTAGTGACGAAGGCACGGGTGTATTCCCCAAGGTTCCCGAACGACCATTATCTCGACTCTGCCTTTGTGCGGGCCTTCCAGCTAGAGGACGAGTTGGGCTCTGGCGGATATGGCTTCGTCATGACCGCCCGTCATCGTACAGAGGGATACGAGGTAGCAGTCAAGTTTATTATCAAAGCCAAAGTGCCGGAGAATTCCTGGATGGACGACGAAATCTTAGGAAGGGTTCCTACCGAGATTCTTCTGCTCAGTCTGATCAATCATGAGAACATCGTCAAGTGCATCGACGTGTATGAAGACGAACTATACTTCTATCTGGTACGCGAGCGTATTCGTTAGCTAGTGACCACTTTATTGACCTGGCTGATGCCGT